TTTGAAGAGAGTACGAGAAGGGATTTCGCGAAGCTGGGTGGGCAAGCAATTAAAGTAATGAAGGGCCTTGTACAGGGGAGAATGGAGACAGCGATCAGTCCGCGGAGTTGGCAAGTGCCAAGTACGAGAGCGACGTAAATTATACGAAGGATGCACGCTGCTAGCAGTATGCAGCGAGAGTATATGTGGTGGGGCATAATTTGTTGTTTTTGTTGTTGTTGTTGTTGTTGTTGTTGTTGTTGTTGTTGTTGTTGTTGTTGTTGTTGTTGTTGTTGTTGTTGTTGTTGTTGTTGTTGTTGTTGTTGTTGTTGTTGTTGTTGTTGTTGTTGTTGTTGTTGTTGTTGTTGTTGTTGTTGTTGTTGGTTGGTTGGTTGGTTGGTTTATTTTAATTCGCACAATAAACGGGAACTAGGCCCAATGATAAAAAGGCGAATGGATAAGCCGCATTTAGAAAAGAGAGGACAGGAAATGACGAATGAAGAAGTATCTGACAGAGGAGTCAAGCGAGTATCAGGGGTGACAGGGTGGTCGAGGAGAGCTAGGGGGCGGGCTAGTCTGAGCAACAATACGGTAGGCAACTTATGCTAAACCCATTCTGTTTTGCTATGGTCCGAACATCATCCGGCAGCAGGTTCCAGAGTGCAGATCCTGCGACGGACGGCCGAGAAACGCCAGAGCGGATGGAGGATGGCTGGCTGAGCAGACCACTGGACCTCTGAGGACGAGTTCTCCTGCCAGCAGATCTGACGCACTGTACAGACAACGTGGCACTAGCTTTCCCGTGGAGGCACCTCTTTTGTAGTACTAGTAGCTTGCGCTTGCTGAGTTCGCCTATCCGGTACAGGCTGTGCTGCACCAGCAGGAGATGCACGGTTGTGTAGGGTGGGTGACCGTCGATAGCTTGGATAGCCCTGTTCTGTAGCAGACCCATGCGATCAAGCTGGCGACCAAGGAGCGCGGGGAAGAAGGCGTTACTGCCATAGACTATGTCAGGGATGACAACAGCCTGGACGAAGAGACGCCGTGCAGATCGGGATAGGGAGCGACGTGCTCGCCACAGCGCACCAATCTTACGGGTAGTCTTGCTGACAATTCGGTCGACTTGAGCGTCCCATGAAAGCTTACTGTCAAGGACAACACCGAGGTATGTTGGAACGGCTACTCCACGACACTGGACAGTTACGAGAGGGTTGTCCACCTGTCGGTGAGGAAGAAAGGTCACAGCACGGCTTTTGGTAGGGTTGAGGACAAGGCCCCTCGCCTGTAGCCAAACAGCTAGGTTGGTGACTGCTGTCGTAAGCATAGCAGAGACAGTCCCAACAGAACTCTGCGAGGAATACAATGCTATGTCGTCCGCAAACTGGATGCTGGGTACAGGGTGCAGGACGGAGGGGACGTCGCGGGTGTAAATGGAAAATAGAACAGGACCTAGCACAGATCCTTGTGGTACACCACACGTGCAGGGAGTGGCCTGACTCGTGGTTGGCCCGATGCAGACCATCTGCTCTCGCGCAGTTAGGTAGCTGCATGGCAAACCAGGTGAGGGCCGATTCGCACACACCGACATCAAACAGATGGACAATGAGCTGTGTGTGGCGGACTTTGTCGAATGCTTTGGACATGTCCAATGTGCATAGTCCGGTCACATTTCCCCTGTCCTTGGCAGCGAAGAGACTGTCAGTTAGAAGGCAGAGGGCATCCTCAGTGGAGTGGTGCTGACGGTAGGCAAATTGGGTAATAGGGACGGAGGCACTGGTTGGTTCGAAGGTGGCTGACGAGTTGGCGTTGGACGATCTTCTCAAGTAGTTTAGAGATAATGGGCCGGGTTGTTGACTTCACCAAAAGTGGAGTTCCAAAACAGGCTTTAAAAGCGGCCTAATAACAATGGCCCCACTGCCACTGGTAAAAAGAAGGGAAGAACAAGGAAGAACAAGTACTGGAATGCGGAAAATAGAAAAAAAGCAGACCAGCCATCCTTGCCTCAAAATCATTGTGCTCGACCTCCTGACAGTTAGCTGCCAGTTTCGACTTCGTTAGGTCCCATCAGCGAAGCGCGGAGTGACTGGCTGAGCCGATCGCATCGAGGTCCAGTCACAACAAAGCATTACAAAAGATAACACACAGCGAGCTTGGCAGGTGATCAACATCACTGTCATAGTTACCATGACAATCATGGTGACCATGACAATCATGGTGAATTGTGAAGTCCACCGTCCGTAGAGGGCTCAATTATTTGCCGAAGGCAAACTGAAAAAGTCAATGTTCGGCTGATGATGATTGATTGGTTGATTTTATTTGGATTCGCGAGACCAAACGAGCAGGAGTGCTCAATAACAGGGTAGCGAATTGTTGAGTTGTGCTATGTGACAATGTAGTGTGTGCGTGGGGTGGTGGTGGTGGTGATGATCTATTCAGTTCGTGAAACTCGTTACGAAACAGCATCTGCTCGTTCTTCTGTCTGTGTAATACAGTAATTCATGTACAATCAGTACATGTACTGATATGAAGCTGGCTAGTAAGTGTTATTAATTTTGTTTAATTAACTTAATGGTGTTGTTGGTGTCTCATCCCTGCTAAGCTGGAGAAGAGTGAAATATTCATGTAGCAGGGTCATCACTACTATTACTATACTCTATAGTATTAGTAGTGATGACCCTGCTACACTAGTGTCTTAGTAGTACTAAGACACTACGAGGTGATTTGGCTTTTTTTAACATTTGGCATTTTTTAACAAATGTGTAAAATTTGCTTTTCTTCTGGCTGTTTCTCTGCTCCGGATGGCTGTATCGAAACATGGGTGGTGGCAAATGAGAGCCAGTTTATTGTAGATCAACATTGACCAGAAAATTTGGTGCGTATAATTTAATTCTCCCTGCCACGTTGGTATAACTAGTGGTGGGTGCTTTGCCATTTTGTGTAAAATGTGTAAAATGAGCCCCTGAATGGACGAGGAGGGCAGTGAATTGCTTCTGCACGGCCTTTGGACGACGTCAGGCCGTCTTGCCATCACTAGAGACAGTAATGAAGAACAGTAGGTCACGGAATACACTCTGTGAGAACGAAAACATCGCTGCGATGCTATGCTATCTATCCAATTCCACCGTATAACACAGCCACTAGTTACAAATACAAAAACACGGCTTTCGCAGCATACAATGCAGTTCACTCCTCTGTTGACAGATTAATTTTCATCCACTAGCAATCCTTGAATTGATATCTATCAACTGCAGAACATTGATGACCGAATATCCCAGTTTGTGATGCCATTTTACAAATTTGTTAAAAAATGACACACCAATTATTTGGATCCTGAGAATACTATGAAAGTTGGACATGATTCAAGACACTTTCCAAAGTGGGATCATTCCCATTTTTGAACACAACGGGCATGAAGGATAGCACTTCCACTTGCAACAATTCATTTGGACGTAGCATGTCTAGAAGTGACTGAAAAAACGTCATTTTACAACCATGTTAAAAAAAGCCAAACCACCTCGTAGTGATGGTGACAGCTGCGTTGTCGGCATCCCTCACAGATCAGTCACCTCGCAGTGCGTTGGCACCAGGGCGTGGACCGTCGGGCGCTCCCTCCCGTATGATGTGATAACACATCTTTTCGCCTGCATTTGCTTCACGGTGAATGGGTACGGCAGCTGCTAGCTTCCCCACCTTGATTAGGCCAGGCGATATGTTTCACCTCCAAGTTTCGGGTCCGCGTGCTGCACCATCATCTCTCAGTGCATCGGCGCATTGCCATTGGCTTTTGCCTGCCCCTCTAGCCTCTACCATGTGTTGGCAACAGATCATTTCAGAATTTTTCACTATGTCAACAGATCATGGTGAGACAGTTCACGTCTCAGTTTTAGCGCATTACAGTTCATCTTGTACGGTGAGTCACTGGCTGCTCAATTTTGGCTTTCACAGCATCATTTTCTCAATACCTGGCGATGATGGTCAGGCGCCGTTTTTTTTTTCTCCAGATGGAACTGCAAGAACCTCACTGAGACCGTTCTTTCTGACATAGTTGGTAGATTGCTAGATTGCATTATACGTTTCTTGGAACTCACGCAAAGCTAGCACGCAACTTCTCAGTTGGTCGCAGTGAAAGCAAAATGGCTGACGCAACAGCTCTTTTAGACTAAAAGGATTTCCCTTCAGCGTGGAGAAAGAGCTCGTGTGGGTGAAGAGATGCTCTCCGTTTGTGGTAAGTGACTTGTATGGCGTCCAACCTGTCCGGATATCTGTATAAGGATTTCCAGATGAGCCGGATTTTAAGAGGGGTTATCAACTAACTAACTTATGGGGCATTGAAAAGAAAGAAAAGTTCAAAACACAGCATGTTCCCGTCGAACAAATCACAATTCCACCCAAATTTCGACAAAGAGTGCCCACTTCAAAATGCACTGGACTCATTTTTTTAATTTCTGCAGAAATAGCAGTATACCGTGGAATTCACAGTTTTGCCCGCGGAATGTGAGTTTTCGCAGTGATCAGTAAAACTAGGGTGCGTTCTTAAATCCTCTCGGAAAAGTTGGAGACTCTCCGAAAAGTTCGAGAGCTGTTCTTATATCCTCTCCGAATTTTGGGAGGCTCTCCAAAGCTCTCCAAGCTTCAGAGGTGGTTGGAACTAGGAGATTCCCGCGGTTTGGGATCAGCGCATGCGAACTAGGCTAAAAGCCACGTATTGATCATGAGTGTACGCATTTCCCTTTTCGCATACGCACAGGGCATACTATATTCGTAGCACTGAAGATCGCGGCCCCTTTGGCGCTTCATTTTGCTTGACACCTGCAAAATATCTCCGAATTCTTCGAGACCCGTTCTTGAAGTATCCCAGTTTCTTCGACTTCTCTTGTCTTCTTCTCCTAGAAGCTAGAGAATTTAAGAACGCACCCTTACTTTGCAGAAAGCAGATCTATTTTCTCTCTTTCCACTGTCAACATTTAAAAAAATTAATGTTGCCAGTTGCCACCCAGAACAGAAAGCGGACAGAACAAAAGTAGAATTTACATATTTGTAAAAATACCATCAACTAAAAGCCCAAACACCTGGATATTCGGATTGCTTTAAAACTTGTACTTTGTACCAAGAGCATCGCTACAGGGCAATTTCTCATACAGCGCTTCAATTGGATGTGTTCCTCAAGCTCACACAGAAAAATTCCATGTGTAAACATGCCTTGTACAGGTACTATCAAGCTAAGTTAATTAGCAAACTTCGGAGCAAATCAAGGATAGTGTGCAAATGTCCAAAAGAACAAAAACAAGGCTAAAATAAACTAAAAACTAGAATGGAATTACGCGCTCTGCGCGCTTAATAGCTTCCCAGCGGACTAACTTTCCCTGGATAAATGTTCTGAAAGTGCAGAGCTTGATGAGCGCCTAGCTCTTGCCGGCGTCTATCGTCAGCATGCGGTGTTTGTGGAGGTGGTGCTGTCGACGATACTCCTAGCCCTAGGCCAGCGCAGCGCCCCGCTGGAGTAAAGGGCAAACTCCTTGGTGGTACGGTGCACCGTGCCGGAAACCAGGTACCTGCCGCCGACCTGCAGCATGGCACCGCAGGGCTGCGGACAGCGGGCTCTCATTGGGCTCGACAGTGATTTCTGCACGGCGAGCAGCTTCGATTTCGGTCTCCTCTCCACCGGAGTGCACCTGGAGGCTGCTTGCGGCCGTATGCGGTAATCGCGCGAGAGGGATTCGTAGGCGGCGGAGCTGTTGGAGCAGATGGCCTGGACGTCCAGAAAGTAGTGAGTGCTTGTCTCGTTTTCCACCTTGGCCTGAACAGCTGCACGTTCAGCAGGACAGATATAGGTCACACCACACACACACGAACATACACACACACACACACACATGCGTGTGCACGTGCACATACACACACAAACATGCAGAGAGAAAGAGACAGATGGACGGATGCACCGGCAGACAGACAGACAGGCGGCACTTTTTCACGGGGGGGGGGGGGGGGGGGAGCTGCGCACCCCCCCCCCCTGGCTAGAACACTGTTGACGTTCTAGCCCATTAATTTTAATTTATTCCGAAAACTCTGACAGAAAGTACGAAACTATTATAATTTCTGACGAATGCTAAAATTTCTTCTTTTTACAGTAACTGCATTGTGGCGACTGAGATAGTTCACTGCTTTTCGAGCAGAATCTGCCACCGTTTCGAGCAGAATCCGCCGGTCCCTAATGTATAGTGTGCCATGATGCTGTACAGTGACGAGAACAATATCAGATAGCTTTGTTTGGAGTTTAAAAAAAAAATTTATGAGCACATTGCACATACCTACGGAAGACGTCTTCACAGACTTGAATCAGCCTCAGAAGCAAACGAAGCACAGAATTGTGATTGCAGCAGCCTCGGTCGGAGCTGTTCACTTGTGTAAGGCAAGATGAAGTTGGTGGCCGTTCCCCCTTATCAAATTAACGCGGCCAGCATTTTCATGTAGGCTTCAATACAACCCGCACAAGCCTGGCGGAACCGGTCCGGTTGATCAGGCGGCATGTCCATACCACCTCTTTGCCACCAACATTGTATTTTCTAGAATAGCATTATTCAGCTTAACCCCTTCATTCGACAACTGCTCCTCCCCTGATGAGTTCCCCGTCATCAACTTTATGGAACGAAACAAGACTTGTCAGGAGTAATACTACTTGCCTTCGTGGAGTGTGGCTGGTGAACTGTTCGTGCTGTGGTCTGCAAGCGTAGTGTGGTCTCGTCGGGTCAAATGAAAAACCTATTACTATTGTATTTTCTGCCGAGGAGGCAATGTGCTCCCTTCTATTATCTCGTACACAGAGAATGAAAGGCAACGATATGGCCACTGTCCAATCAAAGACTGCTTCCACCGATCCTGAACCAGTTCACTATGGACCTTACCTAAGTCGTTGCAGAGAGCCCGTTGAACCAGGCGCGTTTCTTTGGGACTGCCCTGCTCCACATTGCATTTTGGGCAGCGGACGCCTACATCTGCATAGGTTGTGGGCACGCAAAGTCACATACAGGTACATATATGACTTAAGGGCATGCACGTGACATCTGCAAACCGGCAAAGAAATGCGACCGCCATACAGCAACGAGCAAGGGTTCTCCATTCTTCAATCCTGAGTCTGGCCAAGTTATACTCCAAACCTGGTTCTGGTTCGGCCACAAATAGAAGTTATACTGTACAAGCAGAAATATTCGTCCGGAATTTAATTTCGTCTTTTTTGTCCAACGAGCTGTTGGACTAAATTAAATGCCGGACTAATATTGATTTGTCCAGCTTTTCAATACACTCTTATGATCCATGGACGAAATTTACAACCGGACGAACCCCCTTTCTTTGGAGTTGGACGAAATTATTGACCGACGAAATTTTCTGCTTGTACAGTAGTCGAAGCCTGGTTCTAATCCGGCCACGAATTGATAGGAATTCACTCAAATAACAGTTCTAAAAAATTCACGGCTCGCGAGGCCGAGTTTTTCCCTATTCGTATGGGTGCCACCACCTCTGTGGACGAAGGCGTAGATTCAGCTCCTAAAGCGGTGTGTAGCAGTTCTAAATCGGTCGCAAACAGGCTTGGGAACAACACATCTGAATATTGACTAGTTCTTTCAAAAAAAGGGCCCACGGCACAGTTTCCAGGCTGTCCCCGGGTGAAAATCGCTATTTCGCGCATGCAAATTTTTCATGCATGAAAATATCAAAAGACTGCCCCTGCATGACATGGTGAAGGTCTTTTCTCTCCAGAGTCTGTACATGTGAGTGGCAGACAAATTAGGACTCCTGAAGTGTATGAATTTCATGGTGTAAATTTCCTTTTCACTCTGTCAACCCGCTTCTTTATGAAAAATAGGCAGTTTTCTGGCAGGCAAACCGGTCGATTGGCAAATCTATTTGCAAGTTCACCAAAAAGGTCGCAAATTTTGCCGCAAATTGTGCCAATATTGACCGCAAGTTATGCCGCAGATTTTGAGCTTTTCTTCCACGATTTTCCCTGGGGACAGTCCAGGGTAGAAGCCTTTAAAAAAAAGACGTTGCTCCTTGCCCGCTTGATCGATAGTCTGACTTTTCACTTGACGCTTGCTATGACGCTCATTTGCCCGGGTGTCCATAACAAGGTGGTCAGAGTTGTCCGCAAAAGAACCCTCCGAAGTTACACATCGATAACCATCAGGTGTGTAGCTCGTGTATTATCAGCATAGTCCGATCACCGCACAGGCAAACGGCCGTCGTACTACATAGGCAAAATGGCGGCTATCAAGGTTATAAGTCGACCTCCCGTTGAAACGTGGGGTCTCGATTTCCCGGGTTAAGGGCAGTTATACCCCGGTTGTAAGTCGACTCCCCCTTTTAGGTCGGGTGTTAGGTCATTACCGTAAAGTCTTGTATAAGGCCATGGTAAAAAATAAAGTTGATTCTCAGGTCATGAGCCTGTGAAAATCGGTGCGAGCGAGCGATTTTTTAATTCATTTCCCACAATTTTTTTATTTCCAAAGATAGGGTCACACATATGTACATGGCCATGACGTCACATGTTAATAATAATTCAGGCCAGGAGTAGAAAAATACCGGTATTTTACTACTCCCTGATTCATGCCTTTCGCATTGACCGTTTTCATGCCCGCATATGCATGCATAGAAATAAAAATATTCGTCGGTGCGCCGCCAAAAATCGGTGCGCGCGTACTTGAGAATCAAAGATAATTTTCACCATGGCCTAAAAGCCGCACTTGAATAGAAGCCGCCCTCGAATAGAAGCTGCCCTCGAATAGAAGCCGCAATTTTGGGCCCAACAGATCACACATAAGCCTGGTTTTAGTGTTGACATACATAGAAATACCTGTCTTGCATAGAAGCCTGCAAAATTTCACCAAGAAAGTCATAGAAGCCGCGGCTTTTATACAAGACTTTAGGCCATCATTTTTTATATCTATGTTTCGCGTCAGTTCAACTTCCAGAATCATATGCGAGAGGTGGAAAAAATAAAAAAGTTGCAAAATAATAAAAAAAGGCTCATCAGAGAGCTAGAGGTGTATGCACTGTACATAGCACAATAGCTCGTGCATGGTGTACATTCGAAAGAAAAATCATACATAGAAGCACAACATCTGGGTTATCAGCATGAGTAAATATTCACTTTGGACAGAGGAGGCAACCGTTGGTGCCTATGCTTCGCTGGATTATTGTACTCAGATTTCGGCAGCGGTGCAGAAAAGACCTCCGGAACGACGCATCCTCTCAGCTTGAGGTGATCAATGCTGTCTGGTGTTAGCTCATAGAATATTGCTCCCAGATGCCGAACAAACGATTTACCAACGCTGGCCTAGGGCCATTTCTGAATCTCAGCTTAGCCGTATGCAACCAGTCCACACTGATGACTCGCACGATCGTACACTCACCGTGCATGTAAGATTTTTTTATTTTTTTCCGAAAAAAATCAAAACGTATGCGTGCGGACGACGCGAAACATAGCTATAAAAAATGATGGCCTTACGGTATTTTAAAAGGTCGACCTAGAACCGGTAAAATACGGTACATGGTCCCCCCACCACTGATGTGTGAGCTACACCCTTGATTACACAGTGCTGGCAACTGAAATCCGACCCTTTAGCAATGCGTTCACATTCTAGCGGTCTCTATTTCGTAGTTTCACTATCCCGTGTTGGGTCTTTGCAATGTGAGCGCACCGCCGCTCAGGGTTCGGATTTCAGTTGCCAGCACTGTACACAGCAAGGCAGTTACTGTCATCTGATATAGCTCCGTCGTACCTCTTCTGCGCTTCTGGCAGATGGCGCCCCTGTAGTTATGGAAGCCTGGTCGAGCGATCACGAGCCCGTGCCTGTTCAGGTAGAAGCACTGTTGACCAGTCCATTGCAGGTAGAAGCCGATTCCGATGAGCGGCTGGTATCTTGCTCCCAGCAGAGAGCTTTTGCTGTAGAGCCACTGGGGACCACTGGAGTGCAAAGAGGGACGGAGAGGGGCGCAAACAGAAGGGGTAGCAAACAAACACATCAAGAACATTGATGCCAAGTAACAGAAATGTTAAGCTGCATGTTATTTCTGACGTGACGCGCAATTTCACAACGAAGTCGGCATAAAACTCCAAATTTCGACATGAGCTGCAGGTCACTCGCGTTGTTTTCCAACGCGTGAGGCAAATAATGCGAGCTGAACTTTCTCGTCACTTGAAAAATCACGTGCAGCTTTAAAACCTCTCTAACCCCAAGAGTACATAACCCCCAAGAGTACATAACCCCCAAGAGTACATAACCCCCAAGAGTACATAACCCCAAGAGTACATAACCCCCAAGAGTACATAACCCCCAAGAGTACATAACCCCCAAGAGTACATAACCCCCAAGAGTACATAACCCCAAGAGTACATAACCCCCAAGAGTACATAACCCCCAAGAGTACATAACCCCCAAGAGTACATAACCCCCAAGAGTACATAACCCCAAGAGTACATAACCCCAAGAGTACATAACCCCCAAGAGTACATAACCCCCAAGAGTACATAACCCCCAAGAGTACATAACCCCAAGAGTACATAACCCCAAGAGTACATAACCCCCAAGAGTACATAACCCCCAAGAGTACATAACCCCCAAGAGTACATAACCCCCAAGAGTACATAACCCCCAAGAGTGCATAACCCCAAGAGTACATAACCCCAAGAGTACATAACCCCAAGAGTACATAACCCCAAGAGTACATAACCCCAAGAGTACATAACCCCAAGAGTACATAACCCCAAGAGTACATAACCCCCAAGAGTACATAACCCCCAAGAGTACATAACCCCCAAGAGTACATAACCCCAAGAGTACATAACCCCAAGAGTACATAACCCCCAAGAGTACATAACCCCCAAGAGTACATAACCCCCAAGAGTACATAACCCCCAAGAGTACATAACCCCCAAGAGTACATAACCCCCAAGAGTGCATAACCCCAAGAGTACATAACCCCAAGAGTACATAACCCCAAGAGTACATAACCCCAAGAGTACATAACCCCAAGAGTACATAACCCCAAGAGTACATAACCCCCAAGAGTACATAACCCCAAGAGTACATAACCCCCAAGAGTACATAACCCCCAAGAGTACATAACCCCCAAGAGTACATAACCCCCAAGAGTACATAACCCCCAAGAGTACATAACCCCCAAGAGTGCATAACCCCAAGAGTACATAACCCCAAGAGTACATAACCCCAAGAGTACATAACCCCAAGAGTACATAACCCCAAGAGTACATAACCCCAAGAGTACATAACCCCAAGAGTACATAACCCCAAGAGTACATAACCCCCAAGAGTACATAACCCCAAGAGTACATAACCTCCAAGAGTACATAACCCCCAAGAGTACATAACCCCCAAGAGTACATAACCCCCAAGAGTACATAACCCCCAAGAGTACATAACCCCCAAGAGTACATAACCCCCAAGAGTACATTACCCCCAAGAGTACATAACCCCCAAGAGTACATAACCCCCAAGAGTACATAACCCCCAAGAGTACATAACCCCCAAGAGTACATAACCCCAAGAGTACATAACCCCCAAGAGTACATAACCCCCAAGAGTACATAACCCCCAAGAGTACATAACCCCCAAGAGTACATAACCCCAAGAGTACATAACCCCCAAGAGTACATAACCCCCAAGAGTACATAACCCCAAGAGTACATAACCCCAAGAGTACATAACCCCCAAGAGTACATAACCCCCAAGAGTACATAACCCCCAAGAGTACATAACCCCCAAGAGTACATAACCCCAAGAGTACATAACCCCCAAGAGTACATAACCCCCAAGAGTGCATAACCCCCAAGAGTGCATAACCCCGAAGAGTACATAACCCCAAGAGTACATAACCCCCAAGAGTACATAACCCCCAAGAGTACATAACCCCCAAGAGTACATAACCCCCAAGAGTACATAACCCCAAGAGTACATAACCCCAAGAGTACATAACCCCAAGAGTACATAACCCCCAAGAGTACATAACCCCCAAGAGTACATAACCCCCAAGAGTACATAACCCCCAAGAGTACATAACCCCCAAGAGTACATAACCCCCAAGAGTGCATAACCCCAAGAGTACATAACCCCAAGAGTACATAACCCCAAGAGTACATAACCCCAAGAGTACATAACCCCAAGAGTACATAACCCCAAGAGTACATAACCCCCAAGAGTACATAACCCCCAAGAGTACATAACCCCAAGAGTACATAACCCCAAGAGTACATAACCCCCAAGAGTACATAACCCCCAAGAGTACATAACCCCCAAGAGTACATAACCCCCAAGAGTACATAACCCCCAAGAGTACATAACCCCCAAGAGTGCATAACCCCAAGAGTACATAACCCCAAGAGTACATAACCCCAAGAGTACATAACCCCAAGAGTACATAACCCCAAGAGTACATAACCCCAAGAGTACATAACCCCCAAGAGTACATAACCCCAAGAGTACATAACCCCCAAGAGTACATAACCCCCAAGAGTACATAACCCCCAAGAGTACATAACCCCCAAGAGTACATAACCCCCAAGAGTACATAACCCCCAAGAGTGCATAACCCCAAGAGTACATAACCCCAAGAGTACATAACCCCAAGAGTACATAACCCCAAGAGTACATAACCCCAAGAGTACATAACCCCAAGAGTACATAACCCCAAGAGTACATAACCCCAAGAGTACATAACCCCCAAGAGTACATAACCCCAAGAGTACATAACCTCCAAGAGTACATAACCCCCAAGAGTACATAACCCCCAAGAGTACATAACCCCCAAGAGTACATAACCCCCAAGAGTACATAACCCCCAAGAGTACATAACCCCCAAGAGTACATTACCCCCAAGAGTACATAACCCCCAAGAGTACATAACCCCCAAGAGTACATAACCCCCAAGAGTACATAACCCCCAAGAGTACATAACCCCAAGAGTACATAACCCCCAAGAGTACATAACCCCCAAGAGTACATAACCCCCAAGAGTACATAACCCCCAAGAGTACATAACCCCAAGAGTACATAACCCCCAAGAGTACATAACCCCCAAGAGTACATAACCCCAAGAGTACATAACCCCAAGAGTACATAACCCCCAAGAGTACATAACCCCCAAGAGTACATAACCCCCAAGAGTACATAACCCCCAAGAGTACATAACCCCAAGAGTACATAACCCCCAAGAGTACATAACCCCCAAGAGTGCATAACCCCCAAGAGTGCATAACCCCGAAGAGTACATAACCCCAAGAGTACATAACCCCCAAGAGTACATAACCCCCAAGAGTACATAACCCCCAAGAGTACATAACCCCCAAGAGTACATAACCCCAAGAGTACATAACCCCAAGAGTACATAACCCCAAGAGTACATAACCCCCAAGAGTACATAACCCCCAAGAGTACATAACCCCCAAGAGTACATAACCCCCAAGAGTACATAACCCCCAAGAGTACATAACCCCCAAGAGTGCATAACCCCAAGAGTACATAACCCCAAGAGTACATAACCCCAAGAGTACATAACCCCAAGAGTACATAACCCCAAGAGTACATAACCCCAAGAGTACATAACCCCCAAGAGTACATAACCCCAAGAGTACATAACCCCCAAGAGTACATAACCCCCAAGAGTACATAACCCCCAAGAGTACATAACCCCCAAGAGTACATAACCCCCAAGAGTACATAACCCCCAAGAGTGCATAACCCCAAGAGTACATAACCCCAAGAGTACATAACCCCCAAGAGTACATAACCCCCAAGAGTACATAACCCCAAGAGTACATAACCCCAAGAGTACATAACCCCCAAGAGTACATAACCCCCAAGAGTACATAACCCCCAAGAGTACATAACCCCAAGAGTACATAACCCCCAAGAGTACATAACCCCCAAGAGTGCATAACCCCCAAGAGTGCATAACCCCCAAGAGTACATAACCCCAAGAGTACATAACCCCCAAGAGTACATAACCCCCAAGAGTACATAACCCCCAAGAGTACATAACCCCCAAGAGTACATAACCCCCAAGAGTACATAACCCCAAGAGTACATAACCCCCAAGAGTACATAACCCCCAAGAGTACATAACCCCAAGAGTACATAACCCCCAAGAGTACATAACCCCCAAGAGTACATAACCCCCAAGAGTACATAACCCCAAGAGTACATAACCCCCAAGAGTACATAACCCCCAAGAGTACATAACCCCAAGAGTACATAACCTCCAAGAGTACATAACCCCCAAGAGTACATAACCCCCAAGAGTACATAACCCCCAAGAGTACATAACCCCCAAGAGTACATAACCCCCAAGAGTACATAACCCCCAAGAGTACATTACCCCCAAGAGTACATAACCCCCAAGAGTACATAACCCCCAAGAGTACATAACCCCCAAGAGTACATAACCCCCAAGAGTACATAACCCCAAGAGTACATAACCCCCAAGAGTACATAACCCCCAAGAGTACATAACCCCCAAGAGTACATAACCCCCAAGAGTACATAACCCCAAGAGTACATAACCCCCAAGAGTACATAACCCCCAAGAGTACATAACCCCAAGAGTACATAACCCCAAGAGTACATAACCCCCAAGAGTACATAACCCCCAAGAGTACATAACCCCCAAGAGTACATAACCCCCAAGAGTACATAACCCCAAGAGTACATAACCCCCAAGAGTACATAACCCCCAAGAGTGCATAACCCCCAAGAGTGCATAACCCCGAAGAGTACATAACCCCAAGAGTACATAACCCCCAAGAGTACATAACCCCCAAGAGTACATAACCCCCAAGAGTACATAACCCCCAAGAGTACATAACCCCCAAGAGTACATAACCCCCAAGAGTACATAACCCCCAAGAGTACATAACCCCCAAGAGTACATAACCCCCAAGAGTACATAACC